CCTTGGGTACTAAAGGAAAAGGCTCTCGTAACCAAACACCACCAGTTCCACTTAAGCAACTACCTGTTGCTTAGTTATCTTTCCAAGTGCTCCAGTGAAGGGAGTAGAAACATTTCCTTCTGTAGACAACAGCACCCTGGTGAATGCCTGTCAAAGCAAATGACCAGACACACCCTATACTGAGCCCCTGACCCTTGTGGGAATTTGCCCTCCACACAATAATTACATAATTCCATAGGTTTGTGCTCTCCAAATGGATTTGAGGGAATGAAAGATAGAAAAGAATGCTAATAATATTTTTCACTTTAATAAAAAAATCATTAATGAGATGAAAAGTACTGCAGATAAAATACCACATCACACTGAAATAACTTGGCTAAAAACAAACTTTAGAGGTACATACAAACTAACCTGAAATATTAATTCCATGGTTAACCAGAGAACCATTTTTAATGTTTTCCTTGCTAATATTGTTGTGGTTTATTCAAGTAAATATATCATCGGCTGATATAGTTGGCTGTTAGTGATAAAAGTTATGTATTTATAAAAATTAGTATCTCGAAGCATATTCATATATTCCAGGTGGCTTAGGAAAAATCTCTGGATCAGATTGGTAGTGGGATAGGTAATTTGCTTACATTGGTTACATGCACTTGAAGGGGGAAGAGGAAGAGTGATGTAAGTAAGAACCAACCTCATAATCTTAGCATCAGCCTAGAGGCCAAATGGCTTAGTGAATAGGGCAGCTTTAGGGTTAGACTTGATCTGACTCCAAGTTCTGTCCCTGACACATACTGGTTGTGCCTAGACAAGGTATTTAACTTCTCAGTAGTCTGACTCTGGTTGCCATGCTGGGAGCCCCACATGGGGATGAAATAGTAAGACTAGACTAAAAAAATGAATATCATAAAAATGACAGTCATTCAATCTCAAATTGCAAGGTTTGAGGGGTGAGAGGAGGTTCTTCAAAGGAAGTGAAAGAAAAGAACAATAAGAAAATTTCTTCTCAGACAATTTTTCATTATTGAAATGGATGCATTTTCAATAGTCACACTCTTAATTTTTTAAAATGTGTTTTGAGGGCTGAGCAATTCTTTTTTTTTGTTTGAATTTGTGTGTGTGTGTGTGTGTGTGTGTGTGTGTGTGTGTGTGTGTGTGTGTGTGTGGCAATCAGGGTTAAGTGACTTGCCTGGGGTCACAACACAGCTAGTAAGTATCCAGTGTCTGAGACTGGATTTGAACTCAAGTCCTCCAGATTTCAGGGCCAGTTCTCTATCCACTGCATCATCTAGCTGCCACTTGAGCAATTCTTTTAACCAACACTTTGCACCCTACCCAACTCAAAAACAGAAAAAAAAAATTAAGCTTTCCTTGATGCCTGAGTCCATGTCTTTGCCCACTCATACACAAATGAATTCTATGTGCCTGGCTTGGGGGATGTTACACTATTCCTGTCATCCACTGTCTGGAAGTTCTTCCTCCCATCCAGCCTGAGTTTCAGACACCTCAACACTCTTTGGTATAGATGTGGAAAAGGGGCCACTTCCCTACTGAGCATATTCTGCTATACTGTGCTAGAAACATTCAATTTGGGACCAGAATCATTTTCCCTAAATAAACCTTTTCTTATCTCATCCTTCTGCTCAAGAAACTATTTGTTTCTTAAAACTGTTGTTTACTTTATCAAATTCAGACCTCATGCCCTGTTTTCAAAGTCCTCTGTAATCTTGCCCAATTCAACAAAAAAATCCCATTAAGCCCAATGTGACCCCTTTATTCCAGGCACACCTGTCTTCTCACTCTCTCCCAATCATGCCATGCCCATTTCTGCTTCAATATATTTTCTCAAACTTCCTCCTTTCCATATTTTTTCTTGTTCCTTCCAGATATATCCTACTGATCAAAGTATACCTGAAGAGGCTCCCATTTCATCAAACCTCCTTTCATCATTGCAGTTCACAGCGACCTTGCTCTTGTCTGAATTATTATAGTACTTCCCTTTGTAATTTCAATCTGGTACCTGCACACAAGCTGTTACACTGTTCATTGGTCATTCTATGTGGATATATCTTATCTTTCTGCCCTTGAGTGTAAGCTTCTTGAGGACAGGAACAGTGTCTCATACTTCATTCTATAAACCTTAACAAATAACGAACATATACTAGGACACTCAGTAAATATTTGATAATCCCTCTAAGCAACCCAAGTGGCTTTATTGTTCTTACTACAGGAAACCGAATATTTCCTTAGAAATAGATGTTCAACTAGGCATGATAACAAGTGCCTAGAATACCTGTTGAAGTTGATGGATCTTTTGAGTTTAGGAATGCTAAGCTGCAATGAGCTAAGAATTCACCGCCCATACCACATGTGGCACAAATATGGTGAGATGCAGGCTTCCTAAGGAGAGAATCAGTCCAGGTCAGAAATGGAGCAGGTCAAAGTCCCATCCTGACAAGAAGTGGGATTAGGCCTGTGAGTAGACACTGCACTTCCAGCCTAGACAAGATTGGAAGTCTTTTTTTTAAAAAATGGATGCCCAATGTCAATAGAATGTAAGTTTCTTGAAGACAAGGACTGCTTATTTCTTATCTTTGTATTTCCATCACCTAGCATAGAACCTTGACCTTATTTGGTGTTTAACAAATGTTTGTTGAATTGAATCGAATAACATTTTTTAAAGCCATTAGAAGTTCTGTTTAGAAAATAGTAATCGTTTTGGGGGGGTAGGTGGAAATGATCTACCGTGATTCAAAAACTATAATTTAAAAAATTATAATTGTAAAAATTACAGTTCCAAAATGTCATAAAGTACTAGTTATTGTTTTTCATCATTTGTCTTCCAAGAGGACCAATGACATCACAGGTTGATGTCTTGATTTGCATGCAAATTGGATTTAAGTGAGGCAGAGCTGCACAAAGTCATCAGCCTCACTCTCTCTCCCTGAGTCATCAAAGTCCAATGGTAAGACAGATGTCAAGGTGACTGGCTATAGGCCGGGATGTAGTGGATGACTCTGGCACCTTCAATGTCTAACCAAGCTCTAGGCACTCCACACTGCCTGCTTCAGCTGCCTTCATGGCGGTTGGAACAAGTTGTTCTCATCCACCCATTTCTCTAGCAGAAGTCTTCACATGCTTAAGGTAGACATCCCCCTAATTCACTGATGGGTTTAAGGCCTATTGGCTATCCCCAGTCTAGCTTAGCCCATCTTCCAAAAAGGTTTTATTTAGGTATGACTGCTGCATATGCTACAGCTTCTTGGAGCCATGGGTGAGAGTTGGGTGAAAGGTGGACAGTAATAGTGGATGACCAGCCCTGAAAAGGGTTTGGCAAGCTCTCACACTAGAGGTGCTAGTCACCTAAAAATAACCTGGAATCATTTTGGAGAATGGGAGAGAATATATCATAGGAGTTCCTTATTCACTGTACTCCAACCAAGTCCTTATACAGTTATCCCCCCCGCCCACTATGATACAACTTCATAGATGATAATTTTATATTGTAGCCTGAATCAATCAATTGACAAGTTTTTATGAAGTGCCTATTACATGTTCGTCACTTTATTGGGCTCTGGAGATAAAAATACCGTAATTCTTTCTTCAGTTTTGAATCATGCTAGTTTTTTTCCCCTCAAAAGAAAAAGTACCACTGATTTGTAGGTGTAATAACATGTTTTACTTGAAAAGATGCTGGACTTGAGGTCAAGTGAAATCTGGGTTAAAATTCTCTGATGTGAGATGTATGACTGTGGGTGAATCAGGGACTTCTCTGAGACTCAGTTTCTTCAACTATTATCCTATCTTTCTCTTCTCTTTCTTTTTTTAAATAAATATTTATTGATGCCTTTCATCTTTAAATCAGAGTCCAGAATGAACCCATCGCGACAACAAAGAAAAATAATTAATAAAAATCTAATATTTAACAACATTGTATATAATATTCTTTTATAGTAGTCCCTCAATTTTGTGACATGAGGAAGCAGGTCTATTTCATTATCTCTTCTTTTGGAATTTTGTTGATTTCTCAGTTTCCCAGAGTTCAGTTTCATTCAGTTAATCTTTCTTATTTACATTGTCGTAGTCATATATATCGAATCTGCTTATTTTGCTCTGCATAATTTCATACAAATCTTCCCATGCTTCTCTGGATCCCTCATAGTCATCATTGCTTTCTGCACAATAATATTCCATCACATTCAAACACCAATTTCTTTTCAGCTATTGCCCATTTGATGGGCACTCAATTTGCTTTCAGTTATCTCTTACCATACAAAGTGCTGCAATAAATATTTTGGTATGCATTGGAGCTGGGTTTCTGTCTTCGACTCCAGGTTGTTTTCATAATAAATAGGAGTACAGGAAGAATTCTTTTCTGACATTTTAGAATTGCAATTTTTACAATTATAATTCCCAGTGCTGTTTTCCCAATGGGAGAGCTAATGATAATGTCTCCTCAGTCTATGTTATTTTCAGTGCTTCAGAAATTCATATCTTATAACCACACTTGTACTCCAGAGCCCATTAAGTGAGGAATATATATGTACATATATATATATATGCATATACACGCATGTATGTGTACATGCACACATGTGTATATGCATATATATTTTAATTATGAAAAATAAACTAAAATGCCTTTCATAGCACACAGGAAGGAGGGCCACATTTCAAGTGCTGATTGTGTTCCTGACAAAAAGAACAAAACAAATTGAAAGGCATATATTGGGGTCTTCTCTGGCCCAGGACTTAAATTGGGGCCAGGGTTTTGAATTAGCTCTCCCTGTTATCTGAGTGTTGCCCTGCAAAACAAGCAAGGTGACCAGTTTTGGGTAAAGAGGTCCTGTGGTTCCTTTTCCCCTTTGCTATGGATATTGTGGTTATGGTAGGGATGGAGAGGGAGTAGGGACCCTGGCTTTGGATGACCAGTGGAGATGTAAATAGATAAAGACCTGCTTTTTCCCTGTTTCCATTTCACACATCCACTTCCATTTCAGTGCCAGAAGTTGGAAGTGCTAAAGGACACAGAAAAGATAAAATTCAGGGAGGGAATGAATGAATCACTGCTCAACTTGTTGCAGTTCCTGTCTGGAGCAAAGTGGCAGCAGAAGAGTGGAGAATGCTGATTTTTTTTTTGAAAAGTCCTACAGAAGCTCAACAACTCCCTCATGCCAAAAGGATCCAGGTGACCTGGGATGATAAGCCTCCAAGAAGAAAGGGAGGGAGGAAGGAAGGAAGGAAGGGAGGGAGGAAGGAAGGAAGGAAGGAAGGAAGGAAGGAAGGAAGGAAGGAAGGAAGGAAGGAAGGAAGGAAGGAAGGAAGGAAAGAAGGAAGGAAGGAAAGAAACAAGGAAGGAAGGAAGGAAGGAAGGAAGGAAGGAAGGAAGGAAGGAAGGAAGGAAGGAAGGAAGGAAGGAAGGACTTATTAAACACCTATTTTGTGTCAATTTCTTTACAAATATTATCTCATTTGTTCCTCACAATAACTCTGGGAGTTAAGAATTATTATTTTCTCTGCTTGGCAATTGAGAAAATTGAGACAGAGAGAGGTATAACTTTCCCAAAGTCTCACAGCTGATAATTGTCTGAGATTGAATTTTAATTCAGGTCTTCCTGATTTCAGATTCAGCACTAATCCATTGTGCCACCTAGCTGCATTACAACCCCTAACAACCACTGAGGTTAGCTAATTCCTATGTCTTACCATAACACTTACTACCTGAAGCATAATCTATATCACATGACATCTTTCATTGTACTGAACTTTTTAGGGGTGCCCATTAACTGGACATTAAGCTTCTTGAGGGTAGAGACCATGTCTTACTCTCTTCTCAGAGCCCCCAGAGCTCTTTTCCCTTAATTGGCACTCACTCCACTTGTATTTTATGAGTAGATATTCCAGAGAGCTCTTTGACCTAAGGCAGGAACTCTTAACCTGGGACCCATGGACCCCAAAGAGAACTGTGGATAGATTTCAGGTGTGGCTGGGAACTTAGATGGGAAAAAATTACATGTTTATTTTCATTAATTTCTAACTGAAGTTTAACATTTCCTTCAATTATTTAAAAACTTTATTCTGTGAAAGGTTCCATTACATTTACCAAGCTTCTGAAGGAGTCCCTAACACAAAAGAAGGTTAAGAACACTTGCCTTAAGGAGTGTTGCCTTCAGGGCCTAGTGTCTTATCTTCTATACCCTCTATCCACCTGATGGAAGCATGGGGTACTTATTACTTTCCCTACTTCATAGATAGGAAAACTATATGGTTTAGAGAAGAAAAGAGCAGCCAGACAACAGTAGCAGGAAAACTGGGTCTAAAACTCTGGGGTCTTGGTTGGTTGTTACTGTTTGTCCTTGTTTTCAAAGATGACCAATGATATCAGAGTGATGTCTTCAGTTGCAGGTAACTGGCTTTAAAAGAGGCACAGTTGCACAAAGTCATCAGCCTCACTCTCTTTTCCAGAGTCACTAAGTCTCATGGCAAGACAAAAGCCAAGATGACTGGCAATGGATCGGGATGCAGTAGAAGATATTGGCATCAGTCAACTTAGACTGACTTCAAAACCCAGCCCCCCAGAGAACTCTGTGCCCAGAATAAAAACATAGAGGTCTTACCCCAGAAGCATACAATGTGTGTGTGTGTGTGTGTGTGTGTGTGTGTGTGTGTGTGTGTGTGTGTGTGTGTGTAAAAACCTCTTGTTTGGTAGCCTTTTATTCAACATTGTCTCATATACTTACACATTGCTGCAAGCAATATTTAATTTTCCAACTCTTCCCTTGGAGAGTTTAGCCACAAGTTCTCCTCCCCCTTCCCCCAGACTGCACTGTGATCCATAATGGGTTGTTAAGAGGAAGTTAGGGATGTCTGGGGTATAACCCTAAATAAGGGCCTGGGAAAAATTGTGAAGGAGACAGAATTTATCTTTGGAGCCTTTCCACTTCCTCTTTCAGTGCCACGTCCCCCTTCAGGAGCTTTTTGTTCCCAGCACCTACCTTGGATTCATATCTTCATTAGCTCCTTGCTTAAAGTTCTCATCTAAACTAATCTCTAGAATCTGGAGCCTAGATGATGGCTTAAGGTACCACCCCTCACAGGGAAAGTAGCTACATTTCTAATTAGAGGAGGGTGGTAGAGTAGAAATAAGAGTGGAATCAGTTGGGGTTGGGGAGAACAACATGGAATTGAAATTAGACAAAGATGCTTATTTATTTGAAATAAATTCTCTTCATTTCATAGGCTCAAGTTCCGGCTTTACCAGTTGCTAGCTATATTACCTTAGGCAACTTACCATAACCCCCATGAGACTTATTTTCCTCATCTGACAAATGGTTATAATATTATTCTACCTACCACCCTACTTACCCACCTGCAGTGTTCTTATCTCTGAATGAAATAATTCCTTTTATGCTTTGTATAACCATCCAGAAGCAGCTCTAAGACTATCAGCTAACACAATTATTTCTTCCTTGGTCAGGGGCACGTCCTCAAGGATTCTAACAATTCCCTGCATGTTGCCTGTGTAGTCCCTGCCTCTGGAGTTCATCTTTCATAAGTACTTTGGAAAGAGCTAAACAACTCTCCGGGTCAGTGCTGGATTGAAGGAGCTACATATCAACTTGAATCAAACTGATTATAGTTCCTCTGAACCTAATTGGCAAAACCTAACTGCATTCATGTTTTATTAAAAGCAACTTTCATTACGCGGTCTGTGCTGTCCGAAAAATAAATTACATCTGCAAACACTTAGTTATAAAATTTTGCAGATAACTTCCAGTCGCCGGTAATTTTATATTAGGAGCTGTTTTTCCAATGCATGTTCAAACTTTGTTCATTGGTATTAAACATGCTTTACCTACCAGTCTTTGCAAATTTACAGGATTTGTAGTATGGCTCTTTGCAGAGATTTCCTAAATTGTTTTCTGCCAACTTACTTTATTTTTGGCAGCGTCCTTAGGCTCTTTGGAAATTACAAGTTTGTTTGTGTTTTATATTCCACTATTTACCATTTCCTTCTTACAGAAGATTCCATTCAGTTTTGAAAACAATCTGTGTGAGATCTGGATGTAGCACAGGTGAGTCTCACTTAAAGAAAATTCAGGATATAGAAATTCCAGTATAGCAAACAAATACTAAAGGGAGAAATTATTCACTTTATTTAAAAAAAAATTCTTTGTTTTACAAATAAATTCATTACAGTTTCTTTAAAGAGCAAGTTTCCCCTAATGCATTTAAAATGTGATCCGATCAGGTTTACAAAAATTCATAGTTTTTGAAGAACAGATGCATTGGGTAAAGTGATGTATCTACATGCCTATAGAATGTGTAAATGCTAGACCAAATTTAAGACTCTGTCTGGTAATCTTCATTTATATATCTAGAGGTCTCCCTTTGTCAGCAGCTCAGAAGAGAAATTAAGATTGGAATAATGTGTCTAATAGGGACAAAACTAGAAAGTCAGTAGAATTCATCCAAAGGGTTTTTCCATGACCTTTTTCCTGGGTGCTTTTTTTCTATTTTCCTCATTTCCCTTGGGGAGCCGGTACCTTTCCCTGGGGCTCACCCAGGCCTACCATTCCTGGACAACACTCCAAACTTTAAAATTATTTTCTTCCTCACTCCTTGTTTTTCTTGGACTCAGAGGGCTAAACCAAGAATAATATTTAGAAGTTAAAGAGGCAGATTTTTAACTCAGAGCAAAGAAAAATTTTCAAACCTTTAAATTTGTCCAAAAGGAAAATAGGTTGCCCTAGGAAGTATTAAGCTTTTTTTCACTGAAAGTCTTCAGACATAAACTGAAAGGCCATTTCTTCAGGATAGTACAAATAGGATGTCTGTTCAGTTATAGGTTGGACTAGATTACTTCTGATGTCATTCACAGTAGTGATAGTCTATTAAAATACTGAGAATAATGGACAAATTATCAGATGAGAGGAATATTTTGAAGGGTATGTCCGTTGTCCCTCAAATCACATCCCATATACTCTACAGTTTAAGTCAACCAAGTGAAAATTAGTATCTGTGCCTCCCAGTGACCAGGTTTTGCTATGCCCACCACTTCTGACTAAGGCATGATGGTTCCGTAAATAGGGGCCTAGTTTTGGAATCAAAGTATGAGGGTGCAGTTCCTGGCTCTGCCACCTCCAGAACCTTAGACAAATCAGTTCATCTCTCAGGGACACATTTTCTTCATCTATAAAACAAGAAGGTTCACTTTTAGCTCTAAATCTAGGATACTATGATCCATAGGTACAATTCAAAAGCTGGTACATTATTTTCATTTGCATATAGTAAAGTTTCTAACTTGTATGAACCAATACAGAATAAAGAAAGCAGACTGAGGATCAACTTCTCCAAAATTAGGAGGAAAATATTCATTGAAACTATAATAAAAAAAAAAGTGAAAACAGCATTACAAAGCTCAACTTAAATTAGACATAGTGACCAGCAGAGGTTTTAGAAAACAGATGATGAAACACATCCCTCCCCTCTCAGTGGGTTGGGGTAGGGAAGGGCTACGCATGCTGGACATAGCATATAATGTCAGATTGCATTGTTGGTTGATTTTGCTTGACTATTTTCTTTGTTACAAAGAAGGTCCTATTTGCGTATATAGTATGTGCCAATGTGTGAGTTGGTGGAGGAGGGAGGAGTAATACTATATAAAAAAAAATCCACAAAACATTTTTGTATCTCTAGTAGTAGGAATGAGTCACTGCTTATTTCCACTGGTATGTATGTACAGAAGGGCTGGTCTTAATTGAAGGGAGTCATCTAATCAGTGAATGTATATGTATAGATATACAGCCATGGAAGAAAAAAAAACACAAGTGGAATATTTTGAGATCGTGTAAATTCATTAAAATTGTACCCACCCCCGTGAACTAAACTCAGTGAGTGCAACTGACAAAAGAGTACAAAGACTAAAACTCATGTGACTCATTTAAAATCTGAAAGAAAAATAAATGGGGAGAGAAAAGATAACAAATAATCCTGAATGTTGGAGAGGATGGGAGGATCTAAATCTACCTTGGACAGCTACCCAGGTAAACTGAATTTAGAAAAATAGGACAGAGAGATAGGAGAAAATTAGAAAGGTAAGCCTTCCTTGTTATCTATAGCACAATGAAGCAGTTATAAACCTGAGCAAGTGTCAATGTTTGTGGAGAAATTCTAATACAATACAAAGGAAACAGGGACCCATCTGTTAATGGTTGAGAAAACCCAATGACTTTTCCTTTGAAAACCACTGAAATCACCCCAATGAGCCAACTGATAAGATAACAGTAAAGGAGAAGGATATAGTTGGAAGAAAACACACGGAAATAGATTCAGTGATACAAACAAAATAACACTGTTGGGGATGGAAAGATAAGAGTCAGCCAAACATCTTTAGTGATTAGCCATTGTTGATGAGTTATAGAGAGGGCTTTATGGGAGCTTTGTTATGATCAGTAAACCTTCCTTGAATCAAATTGTACTAAGACAACAGTTTTGAATCTTATCATATCAAGTAAATTCTGCTTCATCTATTGCCCATGATACTTCCCTAGCTTCCTTTTTGTGTGCTTTGTATGGTTTGGGTAGGGGTACACCTAAGGAATGTTCCCCCTGGGGACTGGTGTAAAAAGCAAACAGTACCGGTTACTGTTGGTCTGAGCAGCACATGCGGAAAATGGTCCTGGAGGGAAAGACTTGGTGTATGTTAGCAGCAGTCACAAGATACAGGGTAATGTTTGGAGTGGACTTAGGGTATCTAATCTATTCCCACCTTGCGTTCCTATAGAGAACTCACCTTTCTGTAAATAAATATCATACAGCAATGAATCAGGTCCACCACTATGCCTCAGATTTAGGGGCTAAGGCCAAAGTCTACACTGAAATCCCCTCCCCCCCCAAAAAAAAATCCTTGTTTGGTTCAGTGTAGACCACACATAGGCAGACAATTGATGATTGTTTCTCTTTCCTTCCACATGTTTTGGCATGATGTGGATTCAGTCTCTAAGGAATCTGGCTTAAGAATTCATTTATGACATCTGGTTTCACAGTAGCTAGATTATGTCTTAGGCCAATTAGGTGTATACAGCACCAGGCCTGGAGTCAGGAGGACCTGAGTTCAAATAAGACCTCAGATACCTATTAGCTGTGTGACCCTGGGCAAGTCACTTAACCCTGTTTGGCTTAGTTTTCTTATCTGTAAAATGAGTTGGAGAAGGAAATGGCAAACTACTCCAGTCTCTTTGCCAAGAAAACTGAAATGGGGTCACAAAGTTAGATACAACTGAATAACAACAAGATTATGTCTTCTACAGGAAATTATTTCAATTTGTCTTGGTTCTGCTTACATGAATATATACTGGACCCCAAATTCAATACAATATTGGTAGAAGTTACTTATCACTTGGCAGTAAGTTTTTAGAATCATAGCTTTAGAACTATGACAGACTTCAGAAGTCATTGACTCATGAGCTTAGTGCTGGAAGGGATCTTTAAAGTCATCCAATGCAACCCCCTTTATTTTAAAAATGAGGAAGCTGAGTTAGTACTAGAGATCAAGTTACTTATCCAAGATCACACAGGTAGTAAAAGCAGAGCTGAATTTGAACTCAAGTCATTGAACTCAAAATTCAATATGTTTGGTATTACACTAAGCTTGTACAAATGAATAACTACTGAATTTGCTGAGCTCTCCTTAAAAATAGGAAGGTAAGAAGTGACTAAAACTACCTGGAACTCTTGAACAGAGGAAACATGGTTTCAAGCATGGATTTCTAAAAGGAGGGAAGCTCATCTTTAAAATTATAGAATCTGGGAATGGGCATTTTCTTACTCTACTAAGTGATCACCAGTAGATGCTATCATAGAGAAGGTGGCATCAGAGTGGAGTCCTAAAGGAGAATTGCATTAGATGAAGAAAAGCCCATTCCAAGAACAGAGTACCTTACTACTCCAACTCAATCCATTAACCTTTTATTATTCTGACTATAATTTAATTCAAAGTCAATGAGCAATTAATTAAGCATTTATCCTGTGCAAGGAATTGTGCTTTGTGCTGAATCTATAATACATAGTGCTTAAGAAATGCATATTTTAATACATACATAATAAATATACTTTATATAATATATATAAATATAATATATACATACTTAATAAATATAGGTGCTTAATAAATGCTTATCGACTGAGCAGTTCAATGTAAACCTCCCCTATGTTCGTAAGTTCCAGTTTATCCTCTTTGCAGCTTGTTTGTACATACTTGTTTTCATGTTGTCTCTCCCATTAGAGCTGAGAACTCCTTGAGACCATGTCCTGGTCCCCTCCCCCCCTTTTTTGTATCCCCAGTGCTTAACATAATGCCTAGCACATAGTAGGTGCTTAGTAAATGTGTATTGATTAAGTAGTTGAATATAGACCACATGAAAAAAAATAGTATGGGGTAAGAGTAAAATAAACATGCTTTTTTTTTTAGTAGATGATTAATGTGTTCATAAGATCGGAGATTTAGAACTGAAAAGGATCTTCAAGATCGTCTAGCCCCACCTCCTTCCTTTTACAAATAAGAAAACTGAGCCCATAGAGGTGAACTGACTTGCCCAAGGTCACACAGGTAGGAAGTGGTAGAGTTGGGAACTCAGGTCCCCTGACTCCAATCTAGGACACTTTCCTCTGCACCATATTGCTTCTTCTCATGATGATGATG